AGTAGCAGTAGTAGTAGCAGTAGTAGTAGCAGCAGTAGCGGTAGTAATAGTGGTAGTAGTAGCAGTAGCAGTAGCAGTAGTAGTAGCGGTAGCAGTAGCGGTAGTAATAGTGGTAGTAGTAGCAGTAGCAGTAGCAGTAGTAGTAGCGGTAGTAGTAGTGGTAGTAGTAGCAGTAGTAGCAGTAGCAGTAGTAGCAGTAAAAGTAGTAGTAGTAGTAGCAGTAGTAATAGTGGTAGTAGTAGCAGTAGCAGTAGCAGTAGTAGCGGTAGTAATAGTGGTATATGTGGTATATGTGGTATATGTGGGGGTACCTGGGGTTGCGGTTGTTGAGGCTCAGAGCGATCTCGTTGACAGCGTGCGGATGAGACATCACCATGTTGAATCCATACTGAGGACGAGGACACGTTTCAGTTTCATGTGTGAAGTACTAGTTAGAGGACTAACCGACCGACCGGCTGAGTGCGGGGTACCTGGTAGTTCATGATGGCTCTCAGACACATGACACAGACGTGAACGTCGTCTTTCTTACAGACGAGTCGCGAGTTCTTCAGGGTTCGGCGACTCGGCAGCGTGTTGGAGCGAGTCACCAGAGTGGAGCTGTGGACAGAAACCAGCGTCAGAGATCACCTGTTGCGTTCACCTGTTGCGTTCACCTGGTTGTGTTCAGACTGTAGCGGCTGCTACCTGATGGAGTGTCGAGCTGATCGCGGTACGGAGGAGGACGGTGAGGGCAGGCTGCAGTCGCCATGGAGATCCTCGATGGACCGACTCCAGGGGGAGTCGATGGACGACACCTCGCCACTGGCGTCCGGCTGCTCTCCATCGAACCTGAACACCACATTTTATGGGTCGGACAGGTTCTAAGAACATCTAATGAGGGATTCTTACAGCTGGACATGAGAGCCTATGTGTAACCACGGAAACAACATCCGGTTTCAGTTCTTACTAAAAAGCACAAACTGACAATTCACAGAATCTCAACTCACGTGACGGCGTACTGAGCGAACGACAAATACTCGACCAGAACATCGAGACCCCGATTCTCCTCGTTCAGAAACTCTCTGACCCACCTGCAGACAGACAGGTAAGAAAGAGACAGGTAAGAGAGAGACAGGTAAGAGACAGACAGGTAAGATACAGACAGGTAAGAGAGAGACAGGTTAGAGAGAGACAGGTAAGAGAGAGACAGGTAAGAGAGAGACAGGTACCCGATGTGGTTTGTACGTAGAGAGATCTCCAGCTCTCTGAGCATCTGAGTTGACTCCTGAACTCTTCGTC